AATTACAAAGTTTATTTGTAATAATTTATTTCTTATGAAATTATTTATTTCATTATCATAGTAACAAAAGAATCGGTATTTTTTTTTCAATTCACAAATAATTACTGATTTATTAATAATATAATTGTGATATTTTCCATATTTTGAGTATATTGTTTTCATTCGTAAAACAAATGTCATTAATGAAACCATGTTATAAAGTTTTCAATTTTTTTGAAAATAGGAACCATGAAACTACTTTCATTAATGAAATAATAGTATTCTGGTATTGATATGTTTCATTGACTGAACTATATTTGTTTTCATTAATAAAACCAATTTTATCTTGGCTATAAACCGATTTCATTTTACTTAGGAAACATGAAACAAATTTAAAAATGAATGAAATGGTATTATTCAGTTTTTGAAGTGTTTCATTGATTGAACAATATTTAGTTTTTTATGTAAAACCGAATTCATCTTGGTTAGAAACCATGAAACCTATTCTATTTTTGTTAGAAAACATTTCAACAAATTTCACTGCTGAAACAATGTCATTCACTTTTTGGAATTGTGGAGTCCATGAATCCAATTTCAACAATGAAATGAATTTCATTAACAAAAACATGTTATTCAGATTTTTGGAAAATGTTTCATTGATTAAATCATATCTGACTCAAATTTCATTATGCAGACGAACAATGAAACCAATTTCACTAATGAAAAAATAAGATACAGTTTCAAAAATGTTTGTATTAATGAAACCAATTTCACTAACGAAAAAATGAGATACAGTTTCCAAAATATTTTTATTGATGAAACCAAGTTCCAAAAATAAGACGAACAAAGGTTTGTCAATTTTATCCTTTGTTGATTAAATATTAAACCTTTTATTTTTTTACTTTCCTAATATAACACATTTTAATCATAACCATTGATCAAGAAAATGGATGGATGAGATTGGTTTGTAGAATTTACACTGGTTTGCATTTGATTAGTCCTCTATATATATGATTGCGTGTGTGTATATTATGTTTAATCTATTATATAATATTAATCAATAATTATTTAAAATTCTTTAGGATAAAGACAAAAAAATATTAAAAAACCGAAATGCCCTTAGATTTAACTGGGTTAACAAAATTTTATTGATTTCGTTAGAAAGAGGGACTCATTAGGTGCAAAAATGCATACAAGGGGTACTATCCTCGTATTTATATTGATTTTGGTACCATTGTGGGTAGAAAGTGTAAACCACATAGACCAAATTCACAATTTAACCATATATATATATATATATATATATTATAAAAACTTAATATTATATTAATATATATTTACATATGCCTACTTTATCGACCTCCAAAGTCCATATACAAAGGCCAACATTTTTTACCCCTATTTTTTAGTGTTTTAATGTTTGGGTTGGAGATGAAAACACCTTCATCTTTGTGTTTTTAACGTTGGGTTGTAGATGGTCTTAGTTAAAGTAACCAAAATTGTAATTAATTTAAAGAGTGACCAAACTTGCTAATAGGTTACAACCACAAAGACCAAAATTGTAATTTACTCAAAAAATAACTGAGCATTCTTTTTGGCTAATCGTAGGTATTTTGGGACAGTTTATCCCCCAACTAATCTAGAAGCAACCACAAAATTGCTTCGAGTTATCACAAGTGAATATCCATGGCTAAAAGGATTTTGACAATATCTGGATTTCAAGCCAGAAGAGAAAAAAAAAACGGTTGCAAAAGCTTGTGTTCACATTCTTTCAAGTTTCAGTATATTTACACTTATCTCGTTCACATAACACGATGTATATGCAATCAACAGTTTTATAGCACCAAAATCTCAAATCTTTCTGAAACTTCCCAACTCCAAACAAGCGGAGATAAAAAAACGTGCAATTCAATGAGAAAAATGAAATTAAGTTCCATTAAAGATCAAAAAATTTACAAGAACCCTAGGTCTAAAATCTGATCAACTGTGTATAAAAGAAGAAAATGGTTTCAAAGATGCATGGAGTACAAGAAATCGAAGAACTGATCTTCAAACTATCTGTCTAGTTCTATCAAACTACAGCCAGTAGTCATCTTCAAGCCTTTCTGCTTTGCAGTCGCTCTTATTTGCGCTGCCTCATTCCATTTTTCGCCTTCTGCATACATGTTTGAAACCAAGCCATATGAACTTGAATTCTCAGGGTCGAGATCCAAGAGCCATCTTCCTAAACCCTCTCCTATTTCATTGTTTCCGTGAACTCTACAAGCAGCAACCAGTGCACTAACTGCAGAACCACTCTGTGTTGGTGGGAGCCATTTCAAGAACTCTAACGCTTCGTCAAGTTGACCTGCTCGCCCCAGCAAGTCAACCATACAACCGTAATGCTCTTCTCCTGGAACAAGCCCGTATACTTCTTTCATGCTCCTAAAAAGATGCAGACCTTTTTCTACCAAACCAGCATGGCTGCAAGAAGATAGTGTTGACATGAAGGTAACCTCATCAGGAAAGATATTTTCTTTCTTCATTTGGTCCATCAATTCTAATGATCCGAAACAATCACCATGCATCCCTGATGCAGCTATCATTGTGTTCCAAGAGGCTAAACATTTTGTACCCATCTGATGAAACAAATCTCTTGCAGTTCTGTACATTCCACACTTGCTATAAGTAGTTAGCAAAGAGTTCATGATGGTGATCTCCTCCTCCATTGATACCCGAATCACATGACAGTGAATCTCCTTCACTTGGCTTAGACACCCGAGCCGGGAAAAGGCTTGAAGCAAACAAGTTAAAATGACTGAATCAGGGTTCAGTTCTTTTTCCAACTGCATCATTTCTTGAAACAAAGCTATCACTTCATCAGCATGGCCAAGATTCTCATAACCCATCATCATTGATGTCCAAGAAACCAAGTCTTTGTGTTTTATTAGATCAAAAACTTGCCTAGCACAGTCTATATAACCGCATTTTACATATAAATACATGATCTGATTAGCAATATCAGTTTTTAACTCGAACCCATGTGTAATCACAAATCCATGGATGCTTGTACCTTGTCTTATATCTTTCAGATTAGAAAATGCAGAAATGACAGTCAAAATGGTACCTTCATTTTCAGTCAAACCCAATCTTCTCATGTTATGGAATGCTTCAATGACTTCACGATCATGCCCGTTGTGGAGATAACCTGCCATCATCACGTTAAAGGAAATGACATCTTTGTCCTTCAAGGTATCAAAAATTTCCCTAGCTTTGCTACAATTGTTACATTTTGAGTACATATCAATCAGAGCTGTCTTCGCAACAACATCAAGCAGAAGTCCGTTTCTGAACATATAACCATGGATGCTCTTACCAACTCGTAGTAAGCCCAACTTAGAACAACTTAAAATCCCATTTGCTAAAGCCACCAAATCTAATCTGTGACCTTCTTGCGCCATGCGATAAAAAAGATTCAAGGCTTCCGAGGGCTGCCTTGACTTCAGATGACCATCAATCAATACATTCCAACAAACAGATGCCTTTGTGCTCATGTTACCAAAAACCATGGTTGCCTTATTTGGTGGCCCGCACTTGATATACATGTCCATAAGACTTGTTTCAAAAACCTCATCAAAACAATCTATTCCTCTTCTAATTGCAAAGGCATGGATAACCTTTCCATGATCCAGCAACCTTAACTGTGCTGCTGCCTGTAGTAAACTCACTAAAGTCACACGGTTTGGTTCCAAGTTATCAGTCTGCATTTGTCGAACGATAGCAAATGCCTTATAAGCTTGATGATTGTTGGTTTGTGTATATCCAGTTATCATAGACGTATAGGCAACAAGATCTCTCTCAGTTATTTCATCAAACACCTTGCATGCGTCTACCATATCTCTACACATTGAATAAAACCCGATCAAAGAGGAACCCACAAACCGATTTGTATTCAAACCAAACTTCAATATATCAGCATGAATTTCTGTTCCAAATTCCTGGCTACACAACTGAATGCAACTCTTGAGACTAAATGTAAATGCTGAACCATGCATACCAATTTTTCTTTGCCTTATATTTAAATAAACCCTAAGAACTTCATCAAATTGACCGGCTTTAAAATACCCATCAAAAATTGAATTCCAAAGGGAAAGATTATCGTTAATAATTCTACTAAAAATGGATCTCGATTCATTCAATAAACCGAAAAACGCATAGGTATTTAAAAGCTTAGAACCCAAAAAGGTGTGGGTTTCAAGACCTTGAATATATATGCAAGCATGAAGCTTTTTCAAAGAACGAACATCGTAACACCTCTCCAATGAAGAAGCCAACTTTTCTGCAAATATTAAAGAATCTGAAGGTATTCTTTTTGCAGTTAAGTTGGAGAAAAACCGAGAATAAGAGTTGATTGGGAATAAAGTGGAGATTTTCTTGAAATGTATGATTCCAATTGAGAAGTGATACATAATTACAACAACTTTCTGCATTCAAAAGCTTAAATTTATTACACGCCCTAAAAGTGAAATCATGCATTTTCTGCTATCGTGAGGTTTTACTCGTCTCCCAAATAAACAGACTTGCAGTCGCTGGGGGAAATAATCCCAGTTTGCCCTTCTTGAAAATAATTATTTGAGTAAATTACGTTTTTAGTCCCTATGGTTTGTTGAAATATGATTCTTGTTCCTGTGTTTTAGAAAATATGGTTTTTGTTCCTATGATTTGTAATTTATTGTTATTTTCGTTCTTATGATTTACAATATACTGTTGTTTCGGTCCCTATGGTTTACATTTCCTTACTGTTTTGGTCCACTTATATAGCTGTACTTTAAAATAGAAATTAACGTAATAATGAAAATAACAATAAATTTCTAACCATAAAAACCAAAAAATTGCATTTTCTAAACTTCGGGAATTAAAATCGAAATTATTAACAAACCACAAGGACAAAATCATAATTTACTCTAATTATTTTATTTGTAAAAAAAATTTAAAACTTTAATTTTACAAGTAACATAGGTGATGTTTTTTTCTTCATATTTCTTGAACTATAAAGAAAAATATTTTATATTTAAGAATTTTTTTTTATTTTTACCAAAATGCCCGATCATTTGGTGCTCAATTGTAGAGACGGCCAAATGGGCCCAACCCGGCCCGTAACCGTCGGAGGATCGGAACCGGAACCGGAGAGGGACCGGAACCGACCGGGACCGGTAGGGACCGGTGGTTATGAACCGGTTGGAGTTTTTATCGTTTTCTAGGACCGGAACCGGTTAAGACCGGGACCGGTTATGTAACCGGTTAAAACCGGAACCGGTTTTTGGCCATCTCTACTCAATTGGGTCCTATGAATTATGATCCCGTCATCCTTACAAAAGGTTTCATAACACCAAGTGCAAACAAATTGCATAATGTTTGGGTTCCTACAGGATGTGATGGAATATCACATATGCTTAAAGTTCGATTCCAGACATACACAATTGTGTTCACTGAGTTTATCAGATTTTTTACAGTCACAATTTATCGAGATTAATTCAGACATAACCTGAGTTACTCTTAAAAAAGAACATAATGTTCTTTTTTTTTTTACTGTCCTTTCATTTCCCTTTATATCATACTCGCTCATAAAACAATTAACTTAAGAAGTCGTCTGCTGTATTAATTAATTAATTATCAATTATGTACAACAATCAACACTTCAAAGCAAGAGACTGGTGATTACCACCACCACCACCACCATTTTGACATGATCTCTGCCGAGGCAGTCGTCTAGTCCTTTTTCCCCACCCGCTAAGACTTTTCTCCTCCAACGCCACCTCTCTACAAACAACCTCTTGTGGTGGTGGTGATGGTGGTGTGTGAGAGGATGAGCTGCTGGGAACCACCAACCGCCGCCTCCCTCGGCCATTCTTACCACCAGCACCTTTCCTCTTCGATAAGCTAGACTGCCAAGAAACACCAATACCAGAAAACGCCTCTTCGAATGTCTGAAGATCTTCACTCACTTCCCGTCTCGATAATGAAACAATACTCGGCAATACATCCCTCTGAAAGTCTTTCCTCTGCCTACCCCGCTTCCCTTTAGTTGTCCGTTTTCGCACTTCTTCTTTCTCTTCCAAAATCATTGGCTCATTGTGCATGTAATACTCTTCTTTGCTTTCTTGCAGCTTTAATGTCATATACTCGAAATAATCCATACCTTTAGTAATAGATTCTTCATCATCCTTAACATTTCCTGAATCTTTATCGTCACCAGATGCAATCACCTCTGCAAACCACCGGAGCAAAGTATCAGCTGGTTCTGGTGCTTTCTGATGGACTGGAAGAAGCTCAGATGATGAAATGGACATAATAGCCTCAGCTGCAACTTTAACAAGATCCTCATGGGCATCCATGGAAGTTTCATCCAAAGGCAATTTAGATGTGTCAACCATAATCTCTGGAGGGTCTGTTTCTGTTTCGGTTTCTGATTCAAGAACTACAGGAGCCTCCAAGTCAATCTCCCTTCTAGCGATTTTGACAATTGCTTCTGGTATATATGATGTTGATGGAGTCTCTTCTTCCTCAAAAGCCAAGTTCAAATCAATGTGATGTCTCAACTCCAATATGCAGTTATTTTTACCATTCTCTTTGACAAAATCCTTTGTTTCATCATTCAGATCATGACCATGGTTGGCTAAATCCTTGGAGTTGTCAGGCACGTCTGTAATGGGGACCCCAAGAATTCTCGTGATGCCCTGGGAATTATCAGTTTGAACTTTGGGATCATGAGCACCCTTTGTCATTTCGGTTTTCTTAAAGAATTGCTGGGAATGATGCTGCAAAGAATCCAAGTTCATCTGATAAATTGTTGGTTCTTTCCCTTTGGTCCATTCGCTGCCCAAACTTGACTTCGCCATAAGCCAAGAAGGTAGCCCTTTTTCAAGATTTTCATGGTTCTTCTGCCCATCCGTAACGTTATTTTTTTCATCAGGTTTTTCAAGAATATCAGACACTGAAACCTTGGAGTTTATACCATTTTGATAGGGAACTCCAGCTCTTGAATGTGTCATAAATCTTGAACTGCTATTATTAACTTGCTTATTGCCTGCAAAATCCTCTGGAATTTGCCTCGATGCATCATAGGAGCCAAGCCAATGGTTACGTTGAATTATTGAAGTGTTCTGATCCCATGAAGAAGATTGTGAAGAATCAAAAGATGGCGTGTGGCTTCTTTCGCAGAGTTCAACACCAAATATCGTGCTTTTTCTCCTAGGCTCCACCTTATTTTGATCAGATACGGGAAACAAGAAATGCTCACGGGATTTCTTTGGCTCAGCTTGGAACACATTATTCTGTTGTGAAAAATTACCATTACCACAACCATTGTCGTAGCATTTCCCTGAAACACGAAAAACAAATAAGAAAATGTCAACCACATTTGCAGCAAACCAAGGACGCGGAAATGAAAAGTTTCCAAGAAAAAAAGGTTGCTATTTTCATGGAATGGAAGGAGTGATATGCCTGATCATTTCATAATGACATTTAAACTGCCCTTCAATAGAAAGACGATAACAAATGTTCCCCCTAATTTAAACTAGAGCTTTCGATTCGGTTTGGCATTTACAGGATCGACTTTAAGGTTTTGGTTTTCTATTGCTCATCTTCTTTGTGGCTACAATATTGAACATGGATTCAATAGGAAGTGGTGCACATATTATCTAAGGATACAAGACAAAGATAGCAAGAAACACCTAACCAACCATGATATAAAGCATAAACCGAACAAATAACACACAAAAAGTTAAACAGAGTTATGAAGTAGATCATCAAATTTCATACCATCTACAAAGCTGTAACTTAGCTGCTCCTTTTTGTGCCTCTCCCCCACTATATGGTCTCCACCGGCAATTTGCCCATCCCTTTCTTTGAGGTTTTGTTGAGAAATCTTTGATGAATACAAAAACCCTGAATTTGAATTTGCAGATGAATCTTGCTTTTGTAGGTTCTCTATAACACTGTTTTTGTTAATAAGGGATGCTGCAAAAGATGGTTCCTCCGCCTGGATTGGTTCATTAAGATCAGCCAAATTATAGGCTCTCTCTGTGCTCAAATTGGAAACATTTTCCTTCAATATACATTTCCCCTTCAGAGGATTGTGAGAAGAAAATATACTATTACTCTCTGATATTGATACCCGACCAAAAGTTGAGTCCACCTGGGACGAATTATACACGTCTTTGGTTATTCGTGAAGGAACTTGACTTAGAAAATGACTTGACTTTGATGCTTCTGCTGGCATTGAAAATTTGTAATCCTCTTTCATTGTGAGTTCGTTCATCAAGTCTCTCTGTCTTTTATACACGCGATGAAGTTCTTCAAGCTGGAACATTAAAGAACACCAGTAACATAAATGTTTAACAAAGGAATTTTCAAGAAAAACTTCCACTTTCATGTGTTCAACAGGTTAGATAGCAAGAATAGTGTAAAAGAAAACACACAACATGCAAACTAAAATAGACCTGATGCCTAAAGATCGACTCTTGCTTCAACATAGTTTCCCTCATTCGATCTTGTAGAAATCTCAGGTATTGGTGCATGGTTTGCCTCACTAAAAAGGGGTCATAACAATTGCTCTTTCTTGAGTCAGAGGTTCTGTCGTCGGGATATAGGTCCTCCCACAGGACCTCCCTAGTACCGCTGGGAAAACCGTTGTTTAGATCCATCATTGAACCTGGAACATATGTCTTAGATTGTACTTTGGTTGTCATTCCTGCAGCAAAATCAAGCAACAGAACAGTAGATATTCAAAAGAAGTACACTGTAATGGTTTCATAAATATGATGAATCTTATTGCTTCCGCTTCTGCAAGTAGGTCCAAATTCCATATTTGAATCAAAGAGCATGCAATCAAGCCTTTTAAGATTGTGAAAGATATCCAACACAGATCAATTGGAGTAATCTTGAAGAAAATAGAACAAGATTTAATCAATCTTTGCCTGGAAAGTCATACAAAAAATCAACCACAGTCCAACAAAAGGGTAAAAATGAAACATGGCACAGGAATATCTCACCAAACAATCATACGAGGATATGATTTTGCAATTGTAGATGATAGTAAAGTGGCTTTGAGGTTTCACCCACCAAACATTTTCATAAAAGACGCAATTGAAAACAATAATATTTAATTAACAACCTAAATTCGATCATCGATCTAAATTGATTCGATTTAATTAAGTTGTAACAGCTATACAGTAGTGAAAATCCACCATGAAGACTATCGGAGAAACAAGGAGACGCTTGAAAGTAGGAACTCCAAAATCAAAAGATGCACAGCTGGAATTCTAAGAACAAGCATTGAATGAGTTGAGATTAACGATGCAACGAATGACCTAAATCAGATTAATAACCAAATCTTGAACTAATTAAGCGGAAGTTAGAAATAAAAATATCAGAGAAGAATCTACCTCATGCCCTTGATTTTCTCCGCTAAAACGCAGGAACCCTCTTCAAATAAAGCTCCACCGAGCACAATTTCTAAGCGATTAAATAAAGCAGAGAATTGAGGTGTGTGGTGAGTTGGATTAAATTAAGTAACCATGGAAACGATGATGTGTATAAAAATAGAAAAGGAAAATCTGCGATCCACTGGGCCACTTTTTTCCTGATCAACAGATACGAGAAAGAGAGTGATTTGAGATAAGATAGATCCCTTCGTCTCTCTCTCTCTCTCTCTCTCTAGATATGAAGAATGAACTCACAGATTTGTCAACATGTGGTCTTCTTGGCTCACACATACATATTGTGGTTTGATTCCATCATTAATTTGGTTTGCCCATTTGGCCAGCAAATCTGTATAAAGAATTTATAAATGTGTTTCAGGGTTTTCAGCAAAGTTTTTCGATACAGATATAAATATCAATATCAATATCAATATAGATATAGAGAGAGATAGACAGAGATATATATATATATATATATATCACACGTCAATTCACATTTCTAGATTCTTTCCACCATCCGTCCTATTTTGCCTTTTGGCCTCATATAAATCTATTATTTAATTTATTATTATTATTATTATTATTTCTAAAAGAACTAAAGTTAAATATATAAAAATAATACTAGAAGATTATTTACATAGTACAACGAAATATATCTCGATTTTAATATTTCGTTTTATTTTGTCTTCTATCGATGTTATATGGAGGTTTTTTTATGGTTTTAAGAAAACGTTAATGTTTATATTTTTAAATAAAATATAAATTTAAAAATATCATAATATTCTGAAGAAAAGCAATATATCAATATTATGATCAAACAAACTATTTAAAAGTTTTTGTTCTTTTTTCTAATTTATTTAAATCAATTTTGTTGTTAATTTAATAAGGAAGTAACTTATATTTTTTATAAAAATAATAATTAAGTATTTTGTTTAGAACACAATGTTTTAATTATATTTTAGATTTTTAATTTTTAAAATAAAATATTTATTTTATATTTGATTATATTTATCTACAGTTAGTTATGCAAATTCAAGCATAGGGTTTTAATAAGTTGTACATATATTTAAATCTTTTATAAAGATAATAAAATGTTTATCCTACATTAATTATATTTAACGAATTAATTGTTATAACCACTCCGTTGATTTATATATAACATTTTTTTAGATAACTTAGATATTTTATCTGTTAAATGTTATACAATGATTTATATATAACGCTTTTTTTGTGCACTTTATGGTTAATTTTATAAACAATATAATTAAAAATAATTAACGTTGATTAAAAATTAATTTCATAGCAATAAATAAATAAAAACTTTTGAGAAAAGATTTATATATTTTTTTAAAGTGATTGGTAACAAGCAAATAAAATAATTAAATTAAAATTTCAGTACAAGAGCATATTGTGTTTGTTGACTAAAAAAATATGTCGTATTTGGTTGGGTGGATGTAATAGTCATTTTACCATTTAATCATGAATTGATGTTTCCCCGTATTTTCATTTCCTATGATTGGTACGATCATCCAACTCATCTGACCCGTTAAAAATATAGGCTTGGACAATCATTATTGAAAAAATGGATGTGTCTGAGTTTGTTCGTTTAAATTAACGGACGAATATGACCAATGTAAAAAGAAATATGAACAGATCCGTCCAGCCTGTTTATATTTTATAATTAATATTTTTTACCATTAATTAAAATTATATTAGTATATTTCAAAATTAAATTATTACAGTTATAGTAAGAAACTCTTTGGCTAAAGAATTATGGAGGTTCTTGATCAAACTTGGGATGTTAGAAATTGGAAGTAGCATGATGGATTCATGAAAATATGAATATTAATGTTATACATACAAAATATGAATGCATTATTGATTTTATGGAAGTCTAAATTTTGTTTTTCATTTATTTTTTCACTTGTTAATTTGGTTACTTAAATTTTTAACTGCAACGTGTTTTTCCTTTAATTTTTGGTTCTACATGTGTTAATCAATTGCTAGTGATCAAGTTTATAGATTTATAAAAGTTGCACTTTTTAGGCTTGTTAACTTGTGGGAAAGCCCAGCCCGTTTATATGCGGATAATGGCAAGTTGTTAAGCAAAAAAAGGGGTTCGGGTTTACAATGTGAAACCTGTTAGACAAAATAAAAACAAGTTAGGCGCAAACCTGCAAATGATCACCTCTAGTTTATATCATGTTGAGGTTTTATAAAACAACATTTATAACGGTATAAAGGTTTTTGTCTAATCACAAGTTTTAATAAGAATTTATATATTTGTACAAAAACCTGAGTTTTTATCTATGTTTATTTATTATTATTATTATTATTTAATGTTTCTTAATCATTTTATTTTATTTTGATAAATTTATAAAAACATATTAAGTTAAAATTAATATAACTATATTTATTAATTTTGTTTTTATTTTTTCTTTTGTTGTAAATGTTTATACAAGTTTTTGTATTTTGTTTAATAACTTTAATTTTCCGTTTTCTCGTGGATGCTCTTAAAACCAAACTAAATTGGGTAATTTTTAAACTATCTGGGAGGCTTAAATAAAAGGCTAAATAGCATGATAATGTAAGATTTAAGATATATTCATATGTGAATCATTGAAAATCTAAAAAAAAATCTCTATTTGAAATTGCATACATGAATCGGTGCTACCTTTTTTTAACCTTTCGTTATTACTTTCTCTCTGTATTTAACCTTCTCATAATTGAACTGGCCCCTACCATGATATAGTTTTAGTTTGCAACATTTTCAAACCTAATGATTTGATTAGTTGTCTAAATTTTTATATCAAAGTTACTACCAACCAAACTATAGATTATGTCACTCCTTACTATTTTTAAGAGTTGACATATTATCAGTTTGGCAGTTACTGAATGGTTTAGTGCAGAATGATTAAGAGTCTTTCATGATATAATGCAAAATAAAATATAATTGCTTGGTAATTGTTTATAATGAAATTAGGGCGCTTAATGGTTAAGGGAGGCGCATGATACAAAATCATTCAGAGGGTTTTAGAAGCATTAAGAGACAGACTTTTTTTTTTGGCAAACAAGATTCACCTCTTAATGGTTCAGATACTGCCTCTTAATGAAACTATTAAGAGGTAAACAAACAACACCTTACATTGTAGCCATCTCAACACATTGCAACAGAAGAGTTATAACATCTATATTCATAACTTAATGGAAGTGTAACTACAATACATGACTGAACTTGAGATAACTTAATAGCATCGTAACTCATCTTAACATAAAAACAACTTTAAAAGAAAACATACAATGGCATGTAACACTTTGCTAGATCTTCCCTTTCCCTTTGAGCATTCATTTTTGTGAGTCATGAGATAAATGTTAATAGTCAGTTTTATACTTAATTTGTTCATAGTTTTGCGATAGACAAATGATAAAACATCTTGTAAAATATTTGATAAAAACTCTTAAAAATTATTTTTTTTATGCATGAAATACCTTCTATTGATGCATATTACTTAAAATCAAGATTACAAGTAAATTGTGCATAAATACAACTTATTAAAATTCCATGTTTGAATTCGTGTAACTAACTACAAGTAAACATAATCAAATACAAGATAAACATTTCATTTTAATTATGAAAAATCTAAAATATAATTAAGACAATCATTGTGTTTCAATAGAATACTTAATTATTACCTTTATAAAAAATTATATTGTTAAATAAAAAATAAATTACTTCGTTATTAAACCTAAATTAAATTATAATAAAAAATTGAATTAAGAAAATTATACAACAAAATAAAAACCTTTAAATAGTTAATTTGATTCTATTATCAATATATTTTTTTTCCAAAATTTTATGATATTTTCAAATTTATATTTTTATTCAAAAATAAAAACATTATCGTTTTTCTCAAACCATATAAAACGTACTATAACATCGGCATGAGACAGAATAAAACGATACATTAAAACCGAGATATATCTCGCTACATTACGCTAGTATCATTCTAGTTATTACTAAACAATTTAGATAACTAATAGATGTAATTTATAAACAGGATTAATTAAACTGGTAACGGTGCGAAGTTGGATTCCCAAGCCCACTACTTACCCTTTGGGCTTTGGCCCAGAACAAAAATCACAATAGAAGCAGGCCAGTCATTTGGTTATTCTTACTTGAAATCTTCCAAACCAGTTCAATTTTCAAGAATTCGATAATTTATTTATTTAGAAAAATAGAATTTAATTATTTAAAATGAGAAAGTTCAATTTCATTTGGGAAAAAAAATTATAGCCTTGTCCAATCAAAATGGAAAAAATCGTTCGTTTTCTTTTGGACTTTTCTCAAAATACAAACAAAAAACGAATCTATTTGCACCCTGATTTATTTCTTGCTCAAATCCTTCTTCGTTTCAAGTCCATGGATTTAGAGACGAAAGCCGGTAGCACCTACTACGTCCTTCCGGTGATAAAACAAGCACCAATTCATGCTCTCAACAGACGGCGTTGACGATAAAATTTCAAAAGTTCAATGTGATGGCAAAACCTGCCCTTGTATTTTTCATTTGAAACTTTTGTGCCCTGACTTTTATCCTCTCATTTCATACCAATCCAAACTAAATAAAATTACACCCAAACATTTTTTTAACAAGATCACAAGCAAGTTTTGAATTCATGGAGGAGATCAAGCAAACTGCTCCAAGATGATTTTCTTGTGATGAACAAAGATCCTTGCTTGATCAAAGAATTCCAAGAAAGATGGCAAGCTTCCATGTTTCTTGATTCATCAGCGAAAAGAAGATCAAAAGATATAAAGAACGGTACACAGGAGTAAACATTTCATGTATATCATTAACAAGAAATGACAAAAGATAAAAGGCTAAGCCTTGAGGCTCTTTCTATAAGTCGCCAATTCGAGTCTCCATTTCATGGTTGTTATCTTTAGGTCCCCATTAGACCCCGTGGAATTAGCCAGGTGCATGCAAGTTGGCCCGAACACCCATGTTTACAAGAAAAAAATATAAGACAAAGGTAATTACAAGATGAATCCCTGTATATTGAGAGGTATATCATTATGGCTTGAGAACACGAATCAAGTATGAATCAAGTCATTTTCCAGAAGGGCCGAGTGATGAATCTTGCAGCACTTCCTCCGTTTGCCACTTTACCTGAGGCATTTCCAATTTCCAGCACCATAACAGTGTCTCCTGAAGCCCTTTACCAGCTTATACTAGTAGAATGCATCAGGGAAATAACCAACTTTCTTAATATGGTGACTCAATCCGTCAACCATATGATATATCTTATCGGATGCAGGATGCAAAGTATTTTTTACAGTAAATTCATGAACCCCATCTTCTAATTCAATCAAACTAGCCCCTGATGGCTTTTCATTGCCAGTGTTCTTCATCCTCAACCTCATATCTGCAACACTGTCCCAATTCCCAGTTGCAGCATATATGTTAGACAGCATTGAATAATTTCCTGCATTTTGAGGTTCTAATTTAACCAAGTGTTCCAACACCTCTTGAGCAAGTTCGACTGCATTATAAAGTCGGCAGGCCCCAAGAAGGGCACCCCATATGATGACATTTGGTTCAACTGGCATGGTGCGCACTAACCTAAAGGCTTCTTGAAGACGCCCTCCACGGCCTAAAAGATCGATTATGCAGCCATAATGTTCGATTTCTGGAGGGACCCTGTAATCTCTTTCCATGGTGTAGAAATATTGAATCCCCTCGTCAACAAAACCTCCGTGAGTACAAGCACATAGAACCCCAACAAAGGTAACTTTATCAGGGGCAAATCCTTCTTGTTTCATTTTGGAGAAAAGTTGAAGTGCTTTGCTTCCATGCCCGTGCATCGCTAACCCATGAATCATGGCATTCCAAGAAACTAAATCTTTCTTACCCATCCCATTAAAGATGCTTAACGCCTTGCTTAAGCTGCCACACTTAGAATACATATCAATTAAAGCATTTTCGATAAGGATACTACATTGATGCCTGTTCTTATTAATCGATTGATGAACACGTTTACCCAACCAAAGCAAACCAGACTCAGCACATGCAGCTAAAATGCTAATGATAGCCCCATCATCAGGCCGATATCCAGCCTCCTCCATTTGCTCATATAAATCGGTTGCCTCTTTCGCAAGCCCCTTTTCTGCATAACCTGCTATTATTATGGTCCAAGAAACCATATTCTTGACAGGCATTTTATCAAACAACATTCTTGTCATCTCCATATCACCAGCTTTGCTATAGCCAGTAAGCATTGTAGACCATGATACGACATTTCTCTCGGGCATTTTCTCAAACAACTCGAATGCATCATTCAATTGTCCCGCCTTAGCATACCCATCCAAAATTGTGTTCCAACTCACCATATCACGCTCAGGCATTTCATCAAACAGCTGGCGTGCTTCGTTTAATCGATTAGCTTTCACCAACCCACCAATCATCGTGTTCCAAGAAACAACATCTTTGTCGTCCATCACACTGAACACCTTCTTAGCTGCACCAACACCCACCAACCCACACCTCGAATAAGAATCAATCAACGCATTTGGCACATAAATATCCGAACAAAAACCATACTTTTGGATATGAGTGTGAATCATTTTAACCAAAGAAAAATCATTCTGACCGCTACACGCCTTCAAAAGGAAAGGGTATGTAAAATTATCGGGAAAAACACCGGAACTCTGCATCAAGAAAAAGATTGCAAAGGCTTGGGCAGGCTGGGAATTGTGAACATGAGCTCTAATCATAGTATTGTATAAATGGACGTTGGGTTCGTGGACTTGGTTAAAGGCTTTGACTGCACAGGGCATTTGGCGGCAGAGAGAGAAGGCCGTGACGAGTTTGGGGGTGACGAACGGATCCTGGTGAAGATTGGATTTGTAAATGAGTGCATAAACTTGCTTCAATTGGCTTAAGTTGTTGCATTTATGAAGGTCCGATAGTTTCTGTTCGAAGAGGCGGCGCGTGGACACCCACGCCGGTGCTCGAATCGGAGCGGACACTTGCATTCTGTTGGATTACGGAGTCGACGGTAGAAAAGCAGAGGGCGGAGATCTGGTCCATGTAAACAATAACGATGACATTATCCAAATAATTGGAGAAATAAATATAAATTTAATCGTACAACTCCACAAATATCATATATTTCTTGAAAAGATATTTTAAATATTAATTTAATATTTTTTTCTATTTAATTATATAATATTCAATATGATTATTATTTAAATAATTAAGGTTTTAGTTTACAATATATAAATGTTATCTTAATACTAGAGATGTCACTAATAACATAAAAAAATTATGTTTAGATGATGAAACGTTTTTTATAGTTATAATTCATATCTTAGGTGTTGTTTGTGTTTTATTAAGAGATTAATCTTGTTTAATAAAAAAATTGTATCATGATGTTTTAAAACTTTCTGGATGATTTTGTATCGTGGACCCCTTTAACCATCATGCTCCCTAATTTCGTTGTAAATAATTACCAAACAATTATATTTCATTGTACACTATATCATGAGAGCCTCTTAATCATTTTGCACCAAACTATTCAACAACTGTTAAACAACTCTTACATCTTTTTTTAATTAACCTGGATATCCAACCCGTTATGCGAGTCGACTAATCTCAGGGAGACCACCTGCTTTTCGGGTAGCTCAGAGTCACCGCATTTAAAACTCCGTGGTCACAAGAGGATTTTTATTCCTCATTGGATTTGAAGTTCAGACTTCCTGACAGTTTTGACCTTTGGAGTTCAAGCTCAAACCAATCATACACTTTTTACACTCTCCTATACATCGTTAAATATACTTCTACATAGTTTTTTCTTTGCACACATATCAACATCAAAACCTACTTTTTATATTTATAATGCATGACTTGACTTGCTTATGACATTAAAAATAGCCCAAATAACATTGTTCGTTTGATTTGATGTAATAGTTGAGGGAATTGGATTTCGTAGATGAAACTTTTGGCGTCTTTGCTTTGTAAGATTTAGAATAAAATTGAATTTCATTCTTATAAAAATGATAAAAATAAACAAATTTCTTTTTCTTAATTAATTATTATAACATGTATGTTTTAAGCATATTTTGAACCATTATTACATGTAACTTTTAAAAAATCCAGTGAAATACCAACCACAACCATGGGATTTAAATTTTTTATGTTTGTGGCATTTCAATGAAATCCCAAGATTTCAAATTCTATAAATACTTCAAACTAAACATGGATTAGAATGAATATCAATTCCAAATTCCTCCAAATCTGATCAAATCCTACCGACCAAATGGGGCCTTAGTGTTTATATCATTAGGTGATGGTTTATGTGAAACGACAATATCTCTTCTTCGTGACCATTATCCAAATGAATGACACAAAATCTATAGACGAATTAGATGGTTAGGCAAGTTCTAGTCATGGTAACATATGTGTTGTTTTATGGGATGCAAGAAATTCGTAATAGTAATACAAATATTATATAAATAACAACGACAAATGTTTTCATGGCTCGGGGGGTCACTAACTCAGTTGACAAAGGAGTGTGTAATTTTGTCTAAATACAAACAAGTCATGAGTTCGATCTTAGGCCTCCGGCTAGCCTTAGTCATTGAGTGAGCCAAAATATACCCCTCAGATCGGTGTACTTAAAAGCGGATTCCTTGTAGGACAGGTTATGGTTGTCGATAATCAATTTTTTTGTCCAAATAAAGTTTCAAAATTCTGTTTTTTTTATTGATATATACCTCTTTCAATCCAAAAATATAATGTTTGACCTACGTTACTACAAGAAAATTTATTTCTTATATTTCATTTCATATCACTTAAAGTCATAACCTCATCTCCAAGATTTTCAGATCCCCCACTAAGGGGTCGTTTACCTAAACACTTATCCGGTAAGCGCTTACCGGTAAAATTCAACACCATCGCTTACTTACCAGGTAAGATTTTATTCAACAAAACGCATGATATGCAACAATTTATCCCGATAAGCGATAACCATGGTAAAAGTCGTTATTGTACACTTACCAGGTAAGATTCTTAATCATTGTCATATTCATTCGGTAAAGTAATGTGACTTGGTAAACGCTTACCCAGGTAAGTGTATGGTAAACGGTACCTAAGAATACAATGAAAGTTTATTAAATCTAAATCATGTTTGTAATATCATAGGTTCATCGTATCAGATATTGTTTGATTTGTCCATACATGGACTCACAGTTTTAAAACGCGTATAATAAATGAGGTATTTAATTCCTTAGCAACTTTAGTTTCCCTCCCTAACTAATGTGAAATCTTACAATGTTATTAATTATTTTAATATGATAGATTATGTTCATGATTTCGTTTAATTACATTATGTAATATTATAATTAAATAATATATATATAATATTTATTATTTTATATTTATCAACTAATTTATTAATAAATTATTGTTAAATACTACTAATTTATAGGTTACTTGTTTTAATATATAGTGTTGGAAGATTTTAGGGAAATCTACACAAATGGTTATTTCATAAAATTGATTTCACTTTTTAATCATTTTAAGAATCTTTTTCATTAAATAGCTAAAATATATTTTTTATTTTTCATTTTACACATTTATTATATTACCATATATAATCATATATTAACTAAAGTACATGAAAAAATACGCTTTTTTTTACAAATTACACAAGTATAATCGTCTCATCAAGATATTCAAAATGAGCCTAATATTGAATATTTTTGGATTTAATTTTATATTATTATATATTATATAACTTACAAATTGTTTTTAGTATTTTTATATTCTTACAATTACATATTACGTGTGTTAATATAATAAGGATGTAAAATGAAAAAAGTAATAAAATGTACATTGAATAAATGACCATAAGGGTAGAAAATGTAAGTTTTAAAAAGAATTATTGAAGGCTTGCGCCTTACGATGACATTATTCTACCACTTAGTTAAAATAGATTGGTTGAGTGAATTCCTAAACGGGTCATTGTTTCGAGTACGAGTGACGGCATGTCATCTTATAAAAGAGATCAAATAAATCCTATAATAAAAATAAATTAATTTCCTGATTTATATTTCATAATTAATTTAGGGGATTCTCTCTCTTTTTTCATTTTTATGATATTTTCAACTTTAAAGCATATACTAACTCATATTTTCTTTTCGATTGTTTCAATTTCAATTATAATTCATTTCATAACCTTATTGGGTAATGAAATCATAAACCCATATGATTCGTCACAAGAAATATATAGAAGAGTTAGTGTTGTGTTAGCCGAAAATCAAAGTTTATCCGAAACTTGGTCTAAAATTCCCAAAAAATTAGCCTTTTATTATTACATCAGAAATAATCCGGCAAAAATGGGATTATTCAGGACAGACTCAATGGATAACGAGGATGGAATAGTGGTTGGATGGTTAGGACTTCCTATATTTAGAGATAAAGAAGGGCGTGAATTTTTTTGTACGTCGTATGTCTGCCTTTTTTGAAACATTTCCAATCGTTTCAGTAGACGGAAACGAGATTGTTAGAGCCGATGCTCCTTTTCGAAGGGCATAATCTAAGTATAGTGTCAAACAAGTAGGTGTAACTGTTGAGTTATACGATGGTGAACTCAATAAAGTCAGTTATAGTGATCCTATTACCGTGAAAAAATATGCTAGACGCGCTCAATTGTGGGAAACTCTTGAATTAGATCGTATACTATTTATGATATTTAATATAGTAAATTACATTATTGGTCCCTATGATTTATGTGTTTTAACACTTTGGGTCCCTATTATGAAATATCTATGGATTGCATACTTTTGGTTTACATTTTATAGCATATTGGATCCCTAAGCCTAACTCCATCCAAAAATGTGTTAACTCAGTTAGTTTAGAGGGGTATTTTAGTCATTTAATTTATTTTTTGTTTTCTATTAAAACCACATGACTAAACATGTAATTTACTCTATTCTTTATCAATAGATGACCCCATCTCTTTCTATCTCAACCATAAATGGTGCCACATATATGTTTAGTTTCAAATTATGACAGCGTAGTTAATCTTCTTCGACGACCCACCTTCATCACTGGTCATCTTCTCCAATGACATGCTAACACCATATTCAAACCAGTTAAAGAATGTATAGTTCTTCATCATCACGATCTTAACAAGTTCTAATATCAAATCAACCTTAAAGATCCACAAATAATTTTTTTTAATCGAGATTAAATAACATCAATAAGTATAACACAAATAACAAACTTGTGCAAAGAATCAAAATACCTAAAGCAAACTCATACCACAAACCCTAAACCGAACTCAAACAAAAAAGCCCTCAAACTACATATCTTTGAAACATATCTAAATCTGCTTAGAAAAAATATCACAGATATTTGAAATGTAACCCATATCTTTGAAACAAAAAAACTCTCAACCCACGAATCTTTGAAACATAACTCAGATCTGCTTGTGGAAAATCATAATCCATATTTGATTCAGTGAACCCAACGGTTGAGAAATAAAGATGAAACATATCTGGATGAGATGTAGAAGCAGATTTAGGGAGGGGTTGATTCATGAAGAGGCAGGGGGGTTCGATTCATGAAGAAGACGAAGAAACAGGGGTCTATTTGGTGGTGTAGAAAAGGAACCAAAAATGGTTGGAAACGAATATGGCTCCTTCTGCATCTCATACATTGGAAATGCTCCTCATATGTCTTAATGGAGATGATGAGACTGGAAATGCAATGCTGGGGACAAAGGCAAGAACGACGGTGTAGGGGACGAAGATGAGGAGGGTTGTAGATAGTTGCAGTAGTGGAAGTCGGAGATGGCTGTCGGGTGGAGCCGGAAATGGTTGTCGGAGAGGATGATGATCGACCCCGATGCATCTCATAATATATATATATATATATATATATTAATATATAGTAATACAATATAAATAGTAAATTACATGTTTTATCCGTGTGGTTTTGATAAAAAAGAAAAAAAAGTTAAATAACTAAACTACCCCCTTTGATTTAACT